AAACACTAAAGCAACAGAACTGCGTGTTTGCTTTGAAAGCTGTAATGACTGTTCTTATATGTCTCCTCACGTGTGTGTGTGCGCACGTATAACAGACCAAAAAGGGACTCAGGAGGCCATATTTGCCTTTGTGCAGTGGCCGCCGGTGTGTGTACACTGCAATGTGTGACATTAGTTCAGCATGTCTAAGCTATGATGTGCCTGCAGCCCTGATGAAGTGAAGTGCACGTCTACATCCAAAGAGCACATCCATGTGGCAGCCATCTTGTATCCATCTTGTTTCCTTTCTTATACAGAAGATCAAGTAGCTGTGAGTGATCAAACACTACATGTGCACGCTAAATATGTGTATGTGTGTGCTGACCTGCTGTGCTCATTAGTATTCTAGGCAGGTCCCTCTGCCACTGACTCTCTGCTCAACCAATAATAATGGCCTGATGGGAGTCTGATGGCCACAAGGCTTTCTCATGTACACACACACACACACACACACATATAATCACAGTAAAGCACACACACACACACACACACACATGCATCCAAACTATAATTCACAAACCAGTCGTTGCAGGCAACAAATGGTGTATAGTGATGCATAGTTACTAATTACATCTCTTTTTTGGCCTTTTTCGACCACTTATTTACAGAAAAAGCAGAGCGATGATGGGAAATAATGGATGAATGGCATTGGGAAATGTTGCAAGCTGTATTCAAGCATAATATGCCCACATGAATACCACAGCTCAATGTATCTAACCCAGATTCATTAAAAACCAATTTGCAACCATGCCATTTTAGCGTTATTTTGCAAATCTTTGAGCTATTTTTATAATGTGGCGTAACATGGTACCCGAGTGCTTTAAATCACAATGATGTACCAGGTGAGGTAACAAGCAAGTTTACAACATCAAAAAAGTCATACATATGGAGCTGGTTATGTGATGCAAATGTCAAACTGTATTAGATTACAAGTCATGCACAATGGTAAAAGTGCTCTGCAGTCATAATATAGTACTGTGCAAGAAAATTCTAAAAAATAAGACACTATTTATTGATAATCTGCCTTGTAATCATAATTTTGTAAAAAGGAATATAAGTTGTTGTTGTTTTACTGCCACCGTTGTGTATTTCTTCTGGAAATTGAAGTGAATTGTATGTATAGGTACATTTTAGGATTTTTGCCAAAAAATAAATAAATAAAAATAAAAAGTAGGTAGAGGCAAGTGTTTCCTATTGAATGTATCAGAGCACAACTGCTTGGTCAAGTTTCTGGCAGCACTATTTTCTTTCAGTCACACTAAATGTAACTTGAAAATGAAAATCTAAATCAGTCTGTTGTAACATAACGTGAAATAAAACCCCGCGTACAAACAGTGGACTGCGATAATAGATAAGTTTTTAGCATTTTGGGTGGGGGTGCTTTTTCCTCAGTACCTCTTGGGACACAATTTGATCAATTTATTCATCCTACAGAGTTATTGAGTAAGCAATTAAATGAGAGGTTTGGCTCTCTGCTGAAGTTGCCGCAGTTATTCAGACTGTTTAATTGCCTTTTCCACAAAAGTGAACCGCTGCCCCTCTTAGCTGATGGGCAGGAAGTGAAGAGAGGAGAAAATGAATGTCACTACACAGCCTGTAAATTAAAACAAGGCCGACAGCAGGCTCTAACTTAACCGAGGAGAAGATTGGCCTGTGTCTGGAGTATTACTACTCATTTAGAGTCCCTGCCCACCCCAAAAACCTTATTAGTGTGTGGTGTCTTGTGCTAAGTGAGTGTGTTATTAAAACTCCTAAAACCAGTGACAACCAGATCCAAATACAGAAAGTAGGGCCAAACGCAACAAAACTTTCACAAAATGTCTGTAGCTTTATCTTCCTGTGCCCTGTCTTTGTCTTTCTTGCTCTCTCTCTCTCTCTCTCTCTTTCTGACCGCAGGCTAAGTGAGTGCCGGGCCGGGCCGAGCTCCCTCAGTGGCGGCTAATGTTCCTGACCCAGCACTCCCCGAGCCACCTCCAGCCCTCCAGGCCTTTGAAGGGCCGGCCCGCTCTAAGGTCTCCTGACGGCTGGTGAGGAAATTTGCAGGAACAACTGGAAGAGGCCTGTGTTTATTCAGCTCCCTTTAATGAGGAGAGAGAGGGATTATCGCTGGCCTGGATCTCCCCTGGAACGAGAAGGAGGGGAAAAAACTAAACAAAAAAAAAGGGAAACGAAAGAGAAAACGGCCGCTCCGCATGCTGTTCTACCTCTGACCACTCCAGGCAGATTTTCGACACAAGTGAGGGAGCGAGGGAAAGGGAGGAGGGGGGAAAATGAGAGAGCAGGGCCTGCTGTGCCCATGCATTTCTAGTCTGCTTTCTGCACTTCCACTTCCAGATGTTCCTATTGCAAAACCAGTAGGGAGGAGAGAGAGTGTATTAGGACGTGGTTTGGCTGGTTTGGGTTGAAGAAGGTGGTGGTTCAACACCTGGCCCAGCCACAAGCATGAGTGGCCCTTACAGTTCAACTCCTCATGGTGCTATCATACGGGGGCTTCCTGAGTGAATTATGCAAGCTATACTGTTTTATTATTGCAGTGTTTTACACATAGTTTTATTGTAATTGTAACTGAAGCAAATAATGGTGTAAGCTGGCGTAAAGATCCCTCACGTGGAGTGCTAGTCTCACAAACGGAGCCTTCATGCGTGAGGATTAAGCTTAAAGTACAATACTTCAGAGGTTATGGAAAACTTTCATGGATCATATACGCCAGTGTTGTGTAAAATTCAGAATGGAAGAATTGTCTCCCTTTCAATACATGAATGTGATTTTGAATTTAATTGGCTTCACCCCACAGGAAGCTGAACTGAAATGTAAATAAAATAAATGTAAATAAAAAATAAAAATTATATTTAAATTCTAAATAAACAAATAAATAAAAAATGTATGTACGTTTACAAAAAAAAACGATAAAAGCTGTATATTTCATTGACTTATGTTAATATACCAAATTATTAAAAATCTGTATCTGTAAAAATATCTATCTATCTATCTATCTATCTATCTGTCTATATGTTTGTCTGTCTGTCTGTCTGTCTGTCTATATATCTATCTCTTTTTACACTTTCTTCAAAAGTATCAAACAAGTTCAAAGTTTTACATTTCATTTTCTAGTTAAAAATTAGTCATCTAAATTCCAATTGCAATTCTGCATTCAGTTTGCTACTGCAATTTATTAATTGTATGAATTTAGAAACTTACAAGACATTATCAATCGTTATAATTTTAATTAGAGCTACTGTTTTGACACCCACATCTAAAAATGCAACATTCACGATCCAAAATACAAGATGAAATAAAATGACCAAGGCACACAAATAAAAACAGCACAGATGGAACTTGCTCCATCACCCCACCCCATACTTATTTGATTTATCTCTTGCATATTTAAAGGTACAACTCTGGTAGATGTCTAGTTGTTGACAGCAAGTTGACTGAGTTCTCTTAAACAGTGAGACAGACAGCACCAGTGGATCAATAGCAATGTCTATTGTCCACTCATTGAGGAGAGCATTAGGACTGCTCATGCTGTATCATGCGTCCTTCACTGATGCAGGTCAAAGGTCAGGAACTCTAACCCTACAACACACAGCTTACACATGAGTCGAACTCGATCGCCAGAGGCTGTAGCTCTGAGCAGTGCTGAGCAACAGTTTCCTCCACTCTGGAGTGGAAGTGCAAACAACCCACCGCTTTATAATCCACACGACCAGACCAACCTCAGATACTCAGATGACCTTTGGCCTTTGACCTCCATCCAGTGTCTCCAAGTTCAAGGCTAGGCTGAGGTGAGATACAGATAGATTAGAAGAAGGACTTGAAGAGCAGCCATATGGCTAGCAAAGACCCACGGACCAACATCGGTTTACAGATGAAGAGAATGTTAGCCTGTGTGTGAGTGAGTGTGTGTGTGTGTGTGTGTGTGTGTGTGAGTGTGTGTGTGTGTGGTTTGCTAGAAAACATGTTGCCAAAACACTTTCACTCTCCATCTGGTTCCCTTTTGAGAGCGCAGGCCTGTTGGTTTACAAGTCTACCACTTCAGAGCCATAAAACTGCACTTGAGTGGATTAATAAATTTTAAAAAAATAATAGTAGAATGCCACTTCATTGGTGTTGATTAGCAAAACCACATAATGCCGATATCCAATTATGCAAGATTGCCTCAACATCTGTTTTTTACACTGAAAGTGTCTTTACATTTCTCATAAAAGAGAGGCTGATATTTATATGGTAATTACTCACTTGCATTTAAAACAGTGGGACTTCAATATAAAGTATTACAAAGCAGCACTCCTTTTAGGATCGTATGTCTTAAAGGCAAGTATGAAACCAGAGAGATGTTTTTTAAGCATCAATAAAACAGTAGAGAGCTTTTCTGCCTTATCACCTTGAGGGAAATTAACTAAATGCATTTAAAACCCTCTCAAAAAAATTGCAAATTATTTTAGCTAAGCTCGCATGCCAATCAATCATTTATAATAGAATATGAATGTATAATATAGTATAATAACATATTAATTACATGTTATTACAAACATTTGCACTCAAATATTTGCCATTTTATACAAAAAGCACAGCGCTGTAGTTTATCAATGCATAAATGTTCTCTGTTCCTACTTTCCCTTTACTTGCAACGACGTGACATTTTGTCATGCAGTGGCATTCCATTTTTTTACCAATAATTCTCAGTGAGTGACAGAGGCCAGGAATAGCACATGGCAAATGACTCCAGTTTGAGAGATCAATATTGTAGTGAGCTCCTTTAGATATACTGTCACATCTAAACCTGCACAAACATCTCTGCCACGGGGATAATTCACTCTCCCAGCTAAATGCACTATGCACGCTGTGAAAAAAAAGACACAGAAAATTTGCCCACGTGGTAGGTTACAGATGGCACGTTCGGAAATTACACACAGTATGACGACACACTTCTTTTAATGATTTTGTGCGCTCAGACTCACCAACAGTCGATGAAGAGCAGCTGCAAAATCCCTTTCCTCGTTTCTTCACAGACCTAAAAAGGACACACAAAGAAATAATCATAATCAAACAGCCTTCAATCAAATCTGAAATTCAATTTTCCTCATCCACTCCAATCAGCCGTCTCAAAGAAAACACCAAGGTTTCTAATCTCCAAGCTGACTGATCAACATTCTTACTCAAATACTTTCTGACTGGCCCCAATCATTTCTGGCCCCAAGGCCATACTTAACACTATATTAAATAAGTTTGAGAATAAACCTTGTGATGGACAAGCCAGAGAAAAGACCAAACATACATCCACGACAATAGGAGGTATATTGTACCAAAGAACAAAGGTGTACATCGTGACAACAATAGCATGAGGCCCTCATGCTTGTAATGCATCTGTAATCAGAAACTGGGATGAACTGGGACGAACATACCGATATTTCATACCATACCACTTCACAGCCATTTACTGTGCTCTTTATATTAATACAATAAATACAAGAGCAACAGAAATGTAATTGTAAAACACGTTGAGTATAGATTTTCATTTTAAAAGCAAGAGATCACAATAAATGATACTGAGAATTCATAGTAGCCTAGCAGCCTTTGAGACCTTAAAGGGATAGTTCACCCAAAAATGAAAATGCTGTCATCATTTACTCACCCTCATGTCGTTCCAAATCTGTATGAGTTGCTTTCTTATGTTGAACACAAAATAAGATATTTTGAAGATTGCTGGTAATCAAACAGTTGGTGGTTGCCATTGACTTCCATAGTATTTTTTTTTCCTACTATGGAAGTCAATGGCAAACATCAACATACAGGTTTGGAACGACATGAGGGTGAGTAAATGATGACAGAACTTTCCTTTTTGGGTGCATTATCCCTTTAAGTATGAGCAGGTCAGCAAAGTGATCCGAAGCTGTCTCGAGCTATCACAGACGCTACAATATTTTCAAACCTGTTTGATATTATCGCCACGTGATCTCGTAATGTGAGCGACACAATGACAAGGTGGAACTAA